CCAACCCCTGCTGAGCACTCTGAGCCAGTACACAGGAGGTTTATGAAGGCAGCATAGGCTGGAGGTAGATCTTTCTCAGATCTGCAGTGTGATATTAAGTGTGTCCTACCTCCCTCTTTTTAAAGCATGCTCATTCCATGGTAGTCCCAGCTAAGGCCCATGTAGGCTTCTCTCTAAAACCCTGGCTTAGTTTACATTTTTGTGCAACTGTCCTTGCAACAGTGCTCCCCCTTCTCCAAGGCCACATGCAGCTGGGATTGTCATGGTACCCTTTTTGGTAATGAAGTTTCCTGCCTGTATATTAGAAGGATTTATCTGAAACTCACTTTGGAGATGGCTCTGTGATGTTTCATTTTACAGAACAAGGGGAACCTCATTGCCTTGCATGAGGAGAAAACTCCCTCTATTCAGAATGAGAAGCCTGTCCACAGAATTTCTTACTGAAGGATAATAAAAACTGCTGATTCATCTTTCAGTATTTTTTCATGAGTAGTTGCTTCAGCTGCTACAATCATCTAAGAATCTTCCAGGATTATTTTAGAAAAATCTCTGAAAAAACATTTACAATAGTTTTAGTTTCTTTTATCTATCTCATTTATTTTTTATATTCTATTCTGTCTTTTTGAAAGTTTCATCAGATTTATAGGTGCAGTGTCACTTCCAGCACCAAAATAGTTGCACCTATAGCTCTAGCATTTTAGATCTTTAATTACCAATTTGTGTTGAGTTTCAGCAGGTACCTGCTGAAGACAGGTTTGGTAACAGAGTGAAAATTTTTTTTGCTGGTGAAAAAATGTGCATCTGAGATATTCATATGGCCCAATAAAAATCTTATAATCGATATGGTCAGGTGAATTGTAAAATATTTATAAGCTCTCAATGCTATAGGATGAATAAGGGATGCTGGCCATTCTTCTGACATAGAAATTTGTCTCTGACCAACTGTGCAAGTTGGGCCCTTGAGAAAGGAGTTTAAAACATCTGATTAAATTTCAGGATATCTCTACCATACCTGCTGTAATCCAATATTATTGCTGAAAGGTTCCTACTACAGAGTACATTGTTAAGCAGCTATGTTTTAAAGCACTTAACCTTTGTCTTTCATTGTATTTGGCAAGAAAGGAATGCCTCCGGCTCTCACCTGTCCAGTCAGGTGTACTGTGTGATGTTTAACTTCACTTGAGAGGCTATCTAATGGAAATTTCTGTTTTATCCCTGAATTTTCATTAATTTTATCCATATGAAGTAATTTTCACATCTGCTTGCATCCTATGTGCAAGCAAATGTCTGCATTTACCCTAGATTTTATTAAAAAAAAAAAGTTTTTTGGTCAGATTCCTATATACTTTAGTCACCCCCCCAAAATCAGACTCATTTTTGTATTTTTCTCACATTGTTACACTTCTGTCTTTGCACCAGGTGTTAGACCTGTGTAGGCAAAGTGCAAGCTCATAATAAAGTGTTTCTAGATACAGTTTATACTGTTTCTGTTTTCTGACTTGAGTTGTATCAGGAAGGAAATAACATAAATGGATATTTTATGCTGTAACTCAAGTGAATCCCTATAAGAAGCTTTTTGTTGTGTGTGCATTTTTCTAAAGCTTTGTGCAACATCTTTCCCTTTCATTTCCCCTCCCCACATCTCTATAATGAAAATATGAACACCCTGATATCAACTAGTTTAAGGTAGATACTGGATGTGGAATTTGTGGATTGAAATAATGCATGATTGTTTATGTTCTTTTCATATGACTCAAGTGATCATTTGGGTTTCAGTAGATTTTGAATAAGGTCCCTTTTTACTACAGTGGGAAGAGAAACAGCAAGGTACTATGCATAAGCATATTCTTGTCTGTGTCTTGGGAAGAACTGACAATGAAGTAGTCAGATTTAATTGTGTTGTATCATGAAGTATGCATCAGGAACAAGATGTTTACAAATTAATTTTTATTGAAAATTGAAACCAAAAGCCAAATTAGGGGCCAAGAGTTCAAATGAGTTAACAAGTAGATCAGTGTTGAACAGCAAGTTAAACCAGCTTATTCCATTAGTTCAGTCTGCTGTTACTTGACAATGCTAATGACAAGTTGCTGCTTTGGTCTGTATAAAAAAGAGGTTTATTTTTGCTTTCAACTGTAATTTTGAAAAAAAACTGTAGATTTATGATCTTTATGATTATTTAACTGGTTTTTCATATATATTTTTAATAGTGCCTTTCATGCCTGATAAATGCTGGTAATACCTGTGTTCTAGTTCCTTGCAGAATTTGCTGGAGATGCTTAAAATAGGTCACTGTTTGCACAGTCTCATATGGATTCTGCCTGAATTACAGTGAGGTAAATATAAAAATCTACTTTTTTGTTTAACAGCATCACCACAAGGCTTAAAATACGTAAAACAGAATGAAGGCTCGTTAGGGAGTTCTGATATGATGAAGAGCTCATTTATAAATCTTTTGCCTCTGGAAAGCCTTGGAAAAAGGCTCAAGTAAGACAAATAATTTTGTCTTTAGTGTAACTACTGAGATATGTCACTTATCACTTTTGTGAATTTTCCAAGTGGACATGAAAGCATTCCCTGATACACTTACAAATCGTTTTAAAGGACTACAGGACTGGGAACCCAGTCATCACTGAGTTTAAAAAAAAAAAAAAACCAAAAAAAAAACCCAACAACTTCCCAGTCTTTTCAAATTGCAGTCCGTATTGTTTTCTCAGCAAACACTGCATCCCAGACATACCTGGCTGGACTTTCCAAGAAATATTTGTTACATCAGAAATAATATTTCTATGAAGTATAGGTGAGGAACTTGGTGTTCTTGTAATCTTGGATGTGTCAATAGATCTCTTTCCCTCATATTAAATACATTAGGCTGCAAATTTTATATATCTACATTAATTCATCTCTATTTTAATGTTTTGCTTTGCCATTAAAATTTCACACTCTTTTCATATAACTTTAATCAGTGGATTTTAAGTGAATACTGGCAAAGTTACATGTGAAAAATGTCCAAATAGAAAAGCTGACTGGACATTTCATTTGTCTCTCTTCCATGATGCAGACCCACACTTGCTGTTTCAGGCACAGTTGCCTATCCCAAGATTTTGACTCATTACTAGCAGTCCACCAGCTGCTGTCAGCTGTGGTAACTGACTGGGGAACAGCTCGTCAGTCCCCCAGGATCAGCAGTTAGACAGACTGTCTTCAAAAAGTCAGTAAAGTACTCAAAAAAAAATTTCTATCATTTCCATTGGGTATTTTGTCCAAATAGGACCAGAATGTTTCTCCAGATGTTTACCTTTTTATGTGTAAGTGAATTTAGGGATATTGCCTTCTAAATGAAATCAGCATGGGGAAGCTTTGGAAAACAACAGTCATCGTTTTGTTTCTGTGGAAATAATACTGGAATCTAGTAAAAATTGTCCATTTTTTTGTGATTGAAAACATGCAACTTTGATACAAATTACTGATTATGGCAAACAGAGTTAACATTTATTTTTCTTCATACCAAACACTGCATCAAGGAACACTAATGCAAAGAAAAAATATGGACATTTACTGAAACAGAAGTACAGCAAAAGGAAGCTAATTGCTACCTCAAAATAAGTTAAAATGTGGATTTCAAAGTCCTGTATAGAATTTTTAAATGTTGTTATGGCCTAGTCTTTGTATTTCCTCTTCTTACAGGTCTTGGTACATGCTTTTGAAGTGACTCACATGACATGCACAGCCCAGTTGGATCACTTCTTTTATAAGTACTTTTGTAAGCAGTAAAACAGGGTTTGTTTCCCCTGTAGCTTTGTGCCTCCTGTTTAGATAATCTCATGTCTAATACTTTGGAAACTTTGAGGCTTTTCTTTCATTTAGGGCATTCATAATGTCTCTCTTTCATGTTAATTTGCTGGAGATTAATTAATATTGTACCTGTGATCATACTTTAGACTTTCCCTTATAGAGACAGGAATTTGAGTCCATTTCTTCTCCCCAGCACCTCTGTTTTGATATTTCCCAAGACTGTATCTTTCTGTCAAATTTTCAGCCAGGACTTTTTAAAAATTATTAGCATGTACTCAGTCATGCAACCACACCACTTTCATTGCTTATGGAAAGAGAGAAAAAAATGCAATTACACTACCCTGTTATATATACATGTTAAATAAAATTTATGCCATTATCAGTATAAAATTAATCTCTCAGTTACTGCTTAATTCAGTTTTAAATACTTGATGTCAATAGCTATATGGTGCTTCTATCTCTGCCATTGAGACATTGAGTTTTTATTTGCCTAGTGCTATCATGATCTTGAATCTGTTTGACCAACAATTCTTGTTGTCTGCACCCTTCTCATACCTGTAGACAGATGCTGGGTTCTGTTTTCAGTAGTGCTAATCAGTAATCTTGAAATAGAAAGAAAATGAAATTAAAAGAATGAAGGGGGTGATAAAAATTTGTCTCAAATTTGAGATTTAAAAAATATGTACTTGATTAGATTTTATAGGAAGGAATTTCCAGGAAGAAAAACAAACAAACAAACAGAAAAACCCCAAAATGAACAAACAAAACCCCCACCCTTAATTTGCGGGCTGCCGGCCTGGCAAATGTTTTTTAATCTTCCTTTTTGCCTGCAGAAGAAAAGCATCAGAAATAATTAAGAATCTCTCAAAAGAGAATGAAATGTTTTGGATAAAGCTAGAACTTTCCTGTAAATTTATCTTTTGTGAAAAAGGCAGTTCAGCGGGGATTCATTCTAATGAGAAATTTCTTGAGTCACTTTATTCAGCATCTAGGGAAGATAAGCTTATAATGCTCCATAATTTGAAACTGTCTTCTTAAAATTGAACTGTGTAATCTGTATGCAGACAATTTGGAAGAGAAAGGATCAATACTGCAGCAATGATTCTCACCCCTAACACAGACCACAGGTCTTAGATTCACTGCATATATTATTACAGTCACAGGCTGGATGGACGGTCCATAGAGAGCGGCATATGTGGCCATAATGGTGTAAGGTTTTAGTGTTTAGCATGCTACACAGAGACTCCAGAAACCTAGATTCCGTCCCTGCTTTTTGCTCTGTATGTATTTAAGTAAATGTAGTACTTTTGGGCTTATTTCCCACCTAAAAAATAATTAATAATTTTCCTCAAAGGAGCAATGACAGGCTAAATTAAAGGAAAAAAACCCATGATGCTGTTGGCCTTTCTCATACTGGGAGCAGTTGGAATTGTCTAAGGAAGTGAACCATTTTGGGAGGGTGATCTTAGTAGCAGTCTTTTCCATTTTTACCTTTTCCCAAGCTGAATCTTTCTGTTTCTCAGTGGTGTTTCTTTCCTGATCAATTCCTTTTGCTTTGACTGTTTCTGAAGAGACAAATTCCAATTTTTCTACAGGCAAAATAAAAACAAAGTGCCAGTTACCTCTTGGGCCACCTATCTAATGAATATATGAAGTGGCCAAATAGGTCTATAGTATCCATGCAGTATTGTTTCTCCTTCAGTATCCCTCACCAGCTTGCTGTACTGCTCTCATTGCTCGCTGTTTGTTTCCTTTATCTGTGCTGCATTCAAGAAAAGTCATGCTGGGTTTATATTTTCAAGTAACATTTTGTGACAAGCTTTATGAAGTGTGCTCCAGAAGTACAGATACGATTGTGTTCATTGCTTTGTCTGTTACACTGAATTTTCTTATTCTGTTTTTTAAGGGGGAAATAGTCATCCTTCTGGGAATGACTTCAAGTCCATCAGTTGAACCTGTGAACTGTATTTTGCATGCTACAGTTTTCCTTTCTGCTACTGTCTTGTGTTATCTTTCTGAAAAAGATGCAGAAAGGTAGCAGGGACCACTGTGCATCACCATTGCTCTAAATGTCATTTATTATTAATGGCAGGCAAATGCAGTACACATTATGTGTGTGAGTGTGTGTATAAATATATATATGATGTATATACGTTGCTGTTACAACACCCTATGGGCCATGAAAAGCATCACAAAAGCAGATGTTCTAGGAAGAGAAAAAGAGAACACTTAACTAATTTAAAAGTTAAATCAAAAACTGATATGCTTTTCTGGATGACACATAGTGAACACAGTCTCAGATTTTACAGGGTACTCCAAGCCTGTAAGAAATAAACAAGGTTGTGAATATAAGAGGAGGCCTGCCTGAGTTAGGTCAACTGTCTGGGTTGACCTTTGAATTTCTGTGCCTTGTAGCATCCCAGGGGTTTGGGTAATGTGCTCCAGACTTTTGGTATCTTGCCTCAGGGATTAAGCCTGAACTGTCAGGGATTTAGCCTTGTCAGGGCATGGGCTGCCTGGCTGTCAAGGACTTCTCTGCACCTTTCACTGCTCAAAGAGGGTTGAAGTATATGTAAAATAATTCATAATTTCCATCAAGTTGTTCACAAGGCTACATACTTTGTTGGAAGCCACGTTTTTCATCATCTCTTTTGTAGATTATGAAGTAAAAGAGAGGTTTCTACAGTGTAAAAGGTAACATCTTTACCTAACTGAAGTAAAAACAAATGATGCACTGGAATTGAATGCATTTGGTTTTGTTACTTACTCCAGCTGTAGTGCATATTATGGAATTAATTTTGATCCAGATCTTGACTTTGTTACCCAGAACTGTTTGTAATTACAGAAAACATCAAAATACTGTGGCTCAGTAAGTGAAACATAATACAAGTTCCAACTGACCCCAAATCAAAAGACTTTTTTGGCCGTTGGTCTGTACAGAGAATGTTTTCCTTATTTAGAACAGAAATTGGTTCAGTCTCTTTAAAATGTAAGGAAGTATAAAATTTATGTTACCAGAGACAAATAGTTTGTTTTAGTAAGGAGCTGGGAGAACAGAGTTGATCATTATTTCTGCTGTATTGTGAGTGTGAAGCAGTGTCTGTGGCTATTGATTCAACCTCAAGGGTGGGGCAGAAGCAGCTGAGTATAGGCTCAGGTCTTAATTCCATTCCTTAACATGTATAAACTTTGGATTTTAGCTTCTTTTCATAATGAAATTAAATGCATGTGTTTCTCCTCAGTGTGAATATGACTGTCTGTATTCTAATAACTCTTTGACCTGTTGGCAGACTTCTGGTAAGCTTAAGGTGTTGAATGCTCTTAAAGATATTAAATACCCAGATGTCATACAAAATTAGTTGACTAGAAGAGGATGACTTCTCTATTTTAATTGAGTAGTGTGATAGCCCATTTATCAGAGGGTCTAGACATTGAGAGGAAGACTGCAACGTGAGATCCCACTATTTATTAGAGATCAGAAAATCTAAATGGATGAGACACAATGTACACTTCAACTTTTTGAAAAGTCTCAGCAAAAGTTTATATATTAGTAGAGGTGAGAAACCTAATCCTGAAGACCTCCAAACTGGAGACCACATAGTCTCTTCAAGACACCTATTCTAGCGCTCATTTCTTTACCAGTTTTCTAGATAGATACTACATTTACTCTTTTATGGTCTTTTATTTGTGTACACCCTTCACAAAATTTTAAAGGTAGTGGTGTCAGCTCTTTAAACTCCTTGGGATGGAGTTTGTGAGACCCAGGTGCTTTGAAAACTTTACAGAGAACAAGACTGAGTAGAACTATACCTGGTTCCTTTCATGTACAGCACATGATTTATTTCTGAAGAGGAAGGGGAAATATCAGGAGACATGCTAAGAAATCCAACTCTTAAAATACGGGTTCTCAATGGAAAATGGTTCTTATGGGAATTGTCAAGTTAAGCTGACTAATCTTTGAGGCTTCAATTGTTTTTTGCCCCTTGATAAAACTGGAGATGTTTTAGTCAGCTTCTCTAAAGATGGAGAGCTTAAGTCTTGCAGGATCTATCAGTCCCTGCAGACTAATAAAGGTAAATCCAGTCCGACTGAGGTAGTGAGTCATTCAATGGTTCATAATGCCTGGGAGGAAAAAGAAGTAAACTTCTGGGATTGTTTAAGTCTCATCCAAAAGTCTGGAGTCGCATAGACACAAAGCATAGCAAATGGAGTTCTCAAAATTCAGACTAGATCATTTTGCTCTTAGTGGAAGTGTTTAGGTTCTGCTGAAGCCTTAAGGGGAATAAATGATACTCATTTTACTTGACTTGTAGAGAGCTGCTAGTAACTGTATGTTAAAATCTGTTGTACCCTCCAAACTTAAGTGAGCTGTAGGTGAATGTTGAAAACTCTTGAACGATGAAGAAGATTTTTAAATCTTCCAATGGATAGTCATTCATGCTGACACTGAAATTCAAATAGTATGCCACAGGATATAGAATATATTCTGAATGGGCAGAATGAAACATATCTGCTGCTGCATCTGGTTATAAAGTGAGAATTTCAAGTTTAAACTCAGACCAAGGTGTAAAAGGAATTATACTTAAGGTAAGATGTAAGAAGCATAATAATTCTGAGTGGATTCCATGTTTCACATATGTATAACTGGTGCTCTGTAGCTCTATATGGCAGGCATTTTGCAATCAAATTATTTTTACTTAAATCATGAAAACATTTCTGTCAATACTGTGTCGTGAGGGTCATTTTGGTGTTCTACACCCAGAGGGCACAGAACGCAGTTTTAAGCAAAATTGGTTATAATACAGGCAAAGCACCATGTTAGAATGCGTTTTCCATTGCAAATCAAATTACATTTTTGGGATACTATGCTGATAATATTTGAAAGCCTCCTTACCTCAGTGAAAATTATGTTCTCCAGTGCTCTTCACTTGTATTCATACTGCCTCACAGTTCAGTCAGGAGGCTGTCAGAGGAAGCAGAAGTGATCATGGAGGTAGTGATTACCTTGAAAACTGATATTGACATTGCCTCCCTATAAAAGGTCTGTTAGTGATGGGTAACTGATAAATTAGCCCTTAACAGATTTTGCTTCTTGGAAAGATCATGCAGTTGTAATACCTGCTGTTCCCATTACATCAGAAATACCATAAGTATTATGGAAATGCAGTAGCCTACTAAAAAGAAAATGTTCAGTAACTTTTTCAGAATTAATTATAGCTTTATGTTTAAAGTGAAGTAGGAAGAACATTTGCAGAACAGACCTGGCCTTCTCAAAACCAAAATGAAACTAGATTCCTGGTCCGACAAATCATGATATTGAGGGGCATTGTTTAAAATAAGAGTCTGAAAGGAAGCTGAGAAGTGCTAGGAACGTTCATGTCAGATAATAGCACATGCTGGTGATGTCAGTAACAGAAAGCTGGAGCCATACCTCAAAACTGAGCTAAGCTTTCATTGGGAAAGCTAGGAGGGTTTTAAGCCTTCCCCAGTAAGTCTCTTCTCTTGCTCACAGTGCTGGCACCTTGCAGTACCCATGGCTGCTGCCCAGCAATACTGCTCCTCTGAAGCTGCAGAAATGTTTTGGCACTGCATAGTTATCAGGTCCCCCCCCAAAAAAAGGTTTTTTCTTGGCTGCAGACCCATGCTGTGGGCCCATCTGCACCCACTGGTGTGGTGTGGAGGCAGGAGAGCAGGGAGTGGGGTCTGCTTAGACACCCTTTTCCTCCAAGGCTATGCCTACTGGAAGTAAGCCAGGCTTGAAGAGAAGCAGTTGGAGTTTAGAAGCAATCTCTGAGACTGAAACTATTGTAAATAGCTCTTAGTCTACCACTTAAAATTGCAAATTGTTCTGCAGAAAGTTTAGCTTTGGCAGAAAGCAAAGCAAAACAAAACAAAGTCCTTTTCGACTTGGAAGTTATTTGATTTGAGGTCTGTCAAAAGCTGTTGTAAAATCTTCATGCTACTGGTCTGGAGAAGATCCTTCTTTATGCACAGTCTGCTAAAGCATCATCTGCTACGTGGTCACTTGGGGATCTCCTACGTTTTTTTGAAACATCTAGTATTGCACTTGGAAACAGCATTCTGGAAGAAATGGTAAAGAGCTGCGAGATCTAGTTTAGCTCTTGTATTTCATCAAATGAATAGCTGTGTCTGCAATTTGGCTAATGAGCAACACAATGCAAAGAATGCCCTTGCCTTTCCTTAGAGATATTGTGGGGTTTTCCAAGGAGAGCACAGAGCACTTTTTCCCAAGTGGTGAATTACCTAATTTCAGTAAATTGCTTAATTTCCAAGTTGTACAAGCAACTTTCTTTTATAGCTCTACAAGGAGATACTGCCAGGTGTTACGCATAGTGCAGAAAATACATAATGATGCCAGTTGCTCCCAGACTGAAAAAAAACCCTCAACTTTTTCTCTTTTATAAACAAGTAATTTCATTAATATTTTTCCAAGCCAATGAGCAAGCAAAAAATATCTTCCTGCATACTGGTTTCAGGCACAGCTCATCCTTGGAAGTAACTTCCCATAGAAACATTAATAGCACCTTTTAAAATTCATGTTTTTGATATACTTTGTGGAGGCAGAACAGCACTAATCACTTGATATGACTTCCTCTGAAGTAGGTATTGCAAAGTTTATATGGGAAGAAGATAAGAAGCATGAGATATCTTTGCTCTGGAAAGGGAAACAAAGAAAGGGTTTTATTGCCATAAAACACTAACTCATTTCTGTAATCTGTTTTCTTTGGGGTTTGTTTTTTTGGGGTTTTTTTTAGTGGTTTTTTTGAGGGGGGTGGTAGGAGTGGTATTGGTTAATAATAAGAAAGAGGTAAAGCTAAATTTCACTTATGTGGAGAAGATGGAGGGGAATGTACTCATTCAGAATGTTCCCAAGAGGTGATACTCTAGATACGTGCTCATACCTAATGGTATGATTCTTGAGAAATATTGCTGTCAAATGTAGGTGGTTGTTACAAGTGTTGTATATACAGATAATGCTTTCCAACTAGTAGACAGTCTCAGGAAAAACTAGGATTGCGTAAAAAGGAGGGTAAGGCTCTGTAAGGCAGCACTCGCCAGTTTAAGTCTCCCAAATGCAATCTGTATCATTCTACCTCATCATCCAAATCTGTTAAACATACAGGTATAAAGATGAGCTTTTTAATGTGAAATGATCCTGGACTTCTTTAGGAATCTGATCTGGACTCAAAGTTGTATTAACTTCATAAGACATTAATCACATGGTCTGTATCTCAAATAATTGTGTATTTTTGACATTCATATTATATTGCTATTTTACTGCACTTTTGTCATTTTCCACATTTTTTTCATGGGAGTCTTAAATGCTATTGATTGTGAGATAAATAATTCATTATTTCTGAAGCATCAAAAACTGTGTGGTTATACTATATGAAGGCAGTGTTTTATGCAGCTGTGTTTTAATTCATGCTTTGTTACCTTTATTATTACTGACGGCTGTTTTATAATAAAGCTGCAGATTGGAATCAGAATAGGTATGCTTGAATTCAAACTGAACCAGAGCCTAGTACTAGCACTATGTTTGTCCTTTCCAGAAGTGCAACCTTGCAAAAGGCTACTGTACAGTTAATTCATTCATATGTTTGAATGGGAGATATTACACATATCGTCTTGAATGTATTAAGTAAAATTAGTACCTGGAAGAACTGAGTAACTATTAATATGTACAGAAACCTTCCCCATGAGTAATATATTACCTGGAAATCTGTGGAGAGGATTTATTTTAATGCAGCTTGAATGTAATATTTCCACTTGCAAACAAATTTGATCAAATACAATAAACATAGTGCTGGAATTTTAATGTAATTCTATTACCTATTAGCCAGTATATAAAACAGTAATACACATGTCTAACAAAAGGCAGAGTAGCTTTTTCAGCTTTGCTGATAAATATCAGTATAAGTCATGTAAGTCGAATAATCAGGCACTAAAATAAGAGTAAGTAATATCCCTAGTCTTGTCAAACATAAATGGAATATAGAAGGAGGTTGATTCTTTGCTTAAAAATTTAATGTAAGGAATAATGATGTAAAGCTGAAATTCAGGGTATAAAAATATCCTTTGATAGCCTGATATACAGCATATCTTAGGAAATACAAACTGCTCTGAAATAAAGATCAGACAGAACAAACCTGCCATACATTTGGTTTGGGTTTTTTGTCTAACCATATGTTTATTTAAGCAAACTAGGGGCTTGAGGGTACCTGGGGGCTTTATGTACAAGCAGCTACTATATGATGGCTACTGAAACACTGAATCTAACAGGCTGAGGAGAAATTTGATTTCTTTCTGCAAATCTTTCACCTTAGGTTTAATCACGGAACTGTAAAACCTTTAATCTCTAAAATGGCAATACTGTTAGATAGCTTTAAAAGGTGTTGGAAGAGAGAAGAATTTTATCACAGTTCTAAAGTTACCAAATGCTTTTATTTCTGCAGCGTGCTGTTGGTGGCATGACTCGTTAGCCAGTACAGTGGAAGTCATGTGTGCTGATGGTTCTGAAGACAAGACAGCAAAGGTAAGACTGTTGTACTAATCCTGGGATATGTCTGTCATTGAGAGGAGTCCAAAGAAGTTTGTCAGGTATGCATTGCAAGAATATTAGAATAAATAAATGTGTATGTGTGTGTAGCATTTAGGAAAAAACACCCAACCTGTAATCCGAAATTGAGTCCACTATTTCTACTGTTTCATTGAAGGTATTAGAATCTTTCTGCATTTTGATTAGAAGAAAATTAAATACTTTTCCTGTCTGTCAACTATGCACTATTTTTGCAAACTTGTCAGTACTTAGCAGTTGGAATCAATGAGACTGAGGCCATTTTGTTTTAAAAACAACAAAAAAAAAAATCAGTATTAATTTTGTTTAATAGAAGGTGGAACACCTCCTGACTTAAAGGACTGATCTCAAATGAACAGGCTAAAGCCCATTACTGTCACAATGGAAATTCCTGTTGACTTTACTGACAGGAGAGTCCCACCCATTGTGAAATCAAAGGAGTAATCAAATCAAGAGAGATTAAGTTTCTACCAGATCATGCTGGCATAAGAGCTCCATTCTGCTTGAAGGAAACATAAATGAACAGAAACTTTTTCTCTTCTCCACCCCTCTTATCATGCACAGCTTCTGAGCTTTGGGAGCTCTTGCTAGATGTCTCTGATCAGGATACAACAGCTGAAAGTAATTTAATGTTTATGTTTTTCCTGAAGGGAGTTTTAGCAATATACTGGAATAAAAGGACACAGCATGAGTCTGACAAGGCTGCTGCTGGAACTGACTGCAACTTACTGCTATTCTTCTCTATTATGTGTCTGCTTTCAAACATACTCCAGCCATAGGTCTAACTTGTCACTGTCATGTGCCTCAGCAGCATGATCATTATCTTCTCCTAATGTATGTAACTACATGTTTGTATTCTGCTGGGTTGGAACATTGGTATATACAAGACTAGAGAAGGGATCATCAGCTGCAGAAGTCATATGTGTGAAAATACTATTCACTTCTGTAGAAATTTTTCTTTCATCATGTGTCTTTGTTGTTTTCTTTGAAAATTTTACCTGTTTTGGCTCAAAAAATACCCATCTGTTCTATAATCATCATGGTTCTAGCTTTGGAGGAACTGCATAATGTCAGCAACTAATCTGGTATGTTGTATCTCAGTTATTTCCAAGTGAGTGTTGTATGGTAAAACGTACTGGTTACTTTTCAACTGAGAACTTTAGGAATGACCTACCTGGGGCAGTGCCCCAGAGTTAAAGACATGATGTGCTACAACAGCACATACAGCTGTTCCCCATTTTATCCAGAATGCTAATTTCTGTTATTATGTGCAATTCACCAAATTATGCACTTTGAATAGGCTGAGATTTGATAACAGAGCTAGGATCCCTTGATTAGTCAAGGTCATTATATGGGAAGGTCCA